AGATAGATAGATAGATAGATAGATAGATAGATAGATAGATAGATAGATAGATAGATAGATAGATAGATAGATAGATAGATAGATAGATAGATAGATAGATAGATAGATAGATAGATAGATAGATAGATAGATAGATAGATGTGATTTTTGTTCTGTACCTGTTAATTGTCAGTCCCTTTCTTGTTTGTTAAGCCATTTAACTTTAACAGTCCATCCACGAGAAGGTTTCTAAACTCAAGGGATGAGCCAGTGTTATGTTGATGCATGACAAACAACTTACTAAAGAACCAGTTAAAATTTTGATCTTTGTCACCAGCAACCAGTCACAAAGACAATTGTTTTCATTTCTTTGCTAAATTCATGAAAAACACCAACACCACACAGTGGAGCAAATAATAATGTTTTTAGCCCAAACAAGTTCAAGTTTATTTTCATTCGCATACATGTGGTACATGAGATGGAACAAAATTATGTACTTAAGGTACATAATTAATATGTGATTATGTACATAATTACATGTACATACATGTACATTATATCTAATAATTAATGTAATAACAGTTACACCCATAAACAGCAAAAATATAAAGTGTAAAGAGAAACAATATATACTGTAAAGATCTAAGATATACACTAAGATATATGCTAGCTGATTCCAGTTGATTCCACAGTGACGAGAAAAATGTTGGAAGACCTTCAAAAAACCTGGAGGACTATTGATTTAGACCACTTTAAAATATTACAGTAAAGCCTGGCTCCTTTCAAACAAGATGTAAAAAAATAGGGGTGGTTTAAAAGTTTTGCACATCACTGTAAATCATGGGTTTATCTGGAGTCCCTGTATGTATGGATTTAAAAGCACATGATATCGATGATAAATCCTATAAAACAGATCCTGATTAAGGGTGGACCGTCATTCCTGCTGTTCTCTGTGATGGAGGTGTAAATGAGATGTGCGAGGCTCCACTGAAATATCTGTACAATTAGAGCTGATGGAGGGGGAGGCAAAAAGGAGAGGTTAAATGAAGAAAGGAAAAGGTTAACAGATTATGAGGGAGCCAGAGGTGAGGAAAATCAGCATTAAAGGAATGGTGATTCAATGGTTTCATAGTAGGAGAGGACTGACTCTGCTGGACTTGGCTAGAATAAAAACGTATTCAGAGCTGACAGCTTCCAGAACCTGATTTCATGTACTGACCCCTTGTTCACAATCGGAAGAAACGCTGCAGCACAAACACCTTGAACAGTTAAAAGACTCTTCCTACGTGTCTGTCTGCTGCATGAACTCTTATTCACCCCTGCTGAGGCCAAACACACAAAGCTCTCCTGCATTCAGCTACAGGCTGCAGATCCAACACACGTGTTCCCTTTGAGCAGGTGAACAACGCTGCAGCTGCTGAGACAGAGCTCACAGGGAGAGAATTCAATTACATTTAATAACAGTGAGAAAATAAATATTCAGATATTTTATTAGCCAAACATTTGCCACAGTTCAATAATATTTGTGTATGAAATTGTTCAAATCATATATTAGCACAAGGTTATCAGCAAATATGCTTGATGTTTAGGAGATTAAATGAGTAATGTTAAAAACCGCCCCTCGTGGCAGCTGACTGATATTACCTGATGCGTAAGTAAGATAAGCAGTAGTATAACCGCTAGCTGAATGGACAAAGGTTGCAACGTCCAGAAATCACCAACCTTAGAGTCCAAGCCCCATTCCAAGATAAACGTTTTAATCTTTAATGTTAAATCGTAAATGCTTTGTCCAGTGCTGCAGTATACAAACTTATCTTCAGGCGCAGGATTCATTGTCCATGCTGAAGTTACGTGGAATGCACATTAACCTCTGGATGGCCCTTAATTCCTGTTTACCTTGTTCAAGAACTGAGTTACCATGGAAAAAGATGAGAAAATATTTTAACAGCACAAATGTACTGTTGTTTTCCCGCTTGTATCCATCAGCAGGAAGTTGAATAAAACAGACTGAAGCGCTTTAACGGTGCAGTGACTGTAGAAAACAATTGCAATTGTGTGTGCGCACATGTGCACATGTGTGTGATGGCCAAATAGAGATTTGGTGTGTGTGACTGGAGCCAGTGACCAACGTTTGCCCTCGCTGAGCATCTAATCAATGTCCATCTCACCATGTTTAACCTTTTTATGGTTCAGCAGCAAAAGCAGTTTAGTGAAAAACAGCATCGGCCACAAAAAAAAAGGTTAAATACCTTCAGCTCTGTAGTAAACAGAAAATCTCCAGTGAAAAGTGTCTATTGTCCAGGACAAAGTTTAATCTACATCTGGGAGACGTGTGTGGCCGTAGGGACAGTTTTTATCCCATTGCTCAGCAGACATGGAGGCAGCCGGTAACGGAGCAGTGCTGCAGTAATTCTCTGGTAGAAAGGCTCTAATTCCCGGCATCTTGTTGGCTGCATGCAGGAAGAAACAGTGACGATGATAAATGAGAGTAAGGCCGGTCTCCGTCTGGTAGCTGGTGTCTGTGACAGTGTGAGTCACTGTTAAAGGCCACAGGGTGCTGATTTACTAATCAACACCTGCTGAGGGACAAGCAAATCACATCCTCCGTGCATTTATAAAGGGATAAAGTACAGCTGAATACAGATGGCCTCAAACAAGCTTAAACTAATGTACTACATAAGCTGAACGCGCCTTAACGATGTAATCATAATTATTCACTACAGTGTGGTCTGCAGCGGTAATGTCATCTCAACTAGTGGTTTTATAAAAAGACTTGCAGCAGATAAGATGCTCTGTGACGGTTCAGTGGCGTCAAAAGATGTTATTTTACTGAAAACTACTTTGCAACATGAAAATACAACATAGACACCGAGACTGATGGAGGTCACTGCCATTTATTGCTTTGAATCGTTTTACAGTAAAAAGACACAGCTGGAAAAAAAAAATTATAGTTGAAGATAAACTCATTCTCAATGTGGGTTGGACTCCTCCAGGGCTGTCCCTTGTCTCTGCTCCTGTTTGTGGTGTTCAGGATCTCGAGGCACCGTCGTGGAGAGGAGGAGTGTCTGGTTTGGGACCCTCAGGGTCTCATCCCTGCTTCACGCAGATGATGTAGTTCTGCTTGCGTCTTCAGGCCAAGGCCTTCAGCGTGCACCGGGACGGTTCTCAGCTGAGTGTGAAGTGGCTGGGATGAGAGTCAGTTCCTCAAAGTCTGAGGCCATGGTTCTTGACTGGAAATGTGGTGGAATGCTTCTCCAGGTCTGGGAGGAGACTTTGCCTCAGGTGAAGGAGTTAAAGTATCTGAGCATCTTGTTCACGAGTAATGGGAGGATGGAGTGATGGATTGGGGTCTCATCCTCGGTATTGAGGGTGTTGCTTCGGTCAGTCTTGGAGAAAAAGAGCTGAGTCGAAAGGTAAAGCTTTCGATTTACTGATCTGTCTGTTCCAACTCCCACCTGTGATCATGAGGTTTGGAACATGACTGAAAGAACAAGATCCTGGATACAAGCAGCTGAAATGGGCTTCCTTCATAGAGTGACTGGGCTCAGCCTTAGAGATAGGGTGTGGAGCTCCATCATCCGGGAGGAGCTCAGAGTAGAGCCGCTACTCCTCCACATTGAAAGGAGTTGGTTCAGGCATCTGATTAGGACACCTCCCTTTAGAGGTTTTCCAGGCACGCCCCACTGGTGAGAGGCCCCGGGGAAGAACCAGAACTCACTGGAGGGACTGTACATCTTCTCTGGCCTGGGAACACCTCAGGGTCCCCCCAGAATGAGCTGGAAACTGTTGCTGGGGAGAGGGATGGGTTTCTCTCCTGGACCTGATGACTCCGTGACCCATCTAGATAAGTGGTGGGTGGGTGGGTGGATGGATGGATGGATGGATGGATGGATG